TGCCCGACTTTTCATCTTTTAATGTTCAGTACCTGTCATAATGTGGTGGTGAATGTTTGTTAAATACACCAGTGAGAAAATATTCGCCCTAAATTAAACAGTAAATATCTTTCTACATTAATTGTAGACCTCTAGCTATGAAGTTAAAAGGGTGTAAATAAAGGATGGTATTAGATTGCATATCATTTTAATAACCATGCTACATTGAGCAAGGTACTTAATATGCTTGGGTTCCACATCTCTGAAGTGGGACAAATTAAAATAACCTTTTTTATGTTATTGAGGGAATCATAAGTGTGTGTGTGTGTGTGTGTGTGTGTGTGTGTGTGTGTGTGTCTTTTAATATACGCAAGCTAGTAAATTCACTTTTCAGCTTCCTTTAGTGTGAATGCTTTGATTAAGGTAACCATGATTGGTCAGTACAAAGGTGAAAGCTTAGAAATTGTTATTATTTAATTACATCTAAGATGTGGTTTAGGCTGTCACCATAAAGGGATTAATTTACACAATTAGTTTTAACTTGAAAACGGGTAACACTTATAATCAATGATCCCAAGTTTCATCACACCTGGTGGCCAAAAAAAGAGTAGATACAAAATCCTAGGAAAGAGCCAGGCGATGGCGGCGCATGCCTTTAATACCAGCACTAGGGAGGCAGAGGCAGGCGGATCTCTGTGAGTTCGAGACCAGCCTGGTCTACAAGAGCTAGTTCCAGGACAGCTTCCAAAGTCACAGAGAAACCCTGTCTCGAAAAAAAACAAAAACAAAAACAAAACAAAACAAAAAAAATCCTAGGAAAGGATAGCCTATCTTTGGTTGTGTGGCAACTAAAGAGTCATTTTTAATGATTGGCATGCATGTGTGTCTTCATGTGGACACATGTATGTGAGTGCAGGTGCCCATGAAGGACATGGGATGACATGGGATGTTCCCAGAGCTGGTGTTATAGGGAGTTGTGAGTTGCCCATAAAGTGAGTACAAGGAACCAAACTTGGATCCTCTGGAAGAGCACGACATACTCTACTGTGGAGCTATTGCTCCAGCCCGAGTATGTCTCCTAAGGAACCCATAGAAAGGAGCGAACCAGAGGGAATTCCACAGCAGGCCTGGGAATCTGCATACTGAGGGGCCACTGACACTGGCGGTATACTTTAACAAATACCACTCTAATGGGTCTAGGTCCTCTTAGCTCTTACGGGTAAATTTATAGGTTTAAATGCAGGGGTGAAAGAATTCTCACAAGGTAATGAAATGGGAGAATTTTTTATAATGATTTAGGTAACCTAAAAGGACTCTGATGACCAAGATGGAGTATAAGCAGTCATTCTGAAGCCAATTTGGCAAATTTTGAGGTGTCTCAGTGCTAAAACTGGAAGGATATAGACTCTGCATTTGGCCCTCTTGTGACTGCTTTCTATAAAAGGAAGCAACATAGACTAAAACCAAGAATTTGAAAATGAATTTCAAGCTCATCTCCTCATCAATTTCACTGCAATGAACTGTAGCCACTTTGCAGTAGGTCACAGAACACAATCAACAAAGACAGCCTTTGAGAACTCATCTCTGCTCTGAACAGAATAGCCATGAGCACAATTAAAATAATTATTGAGGAGCATTTGCACTGGATTCCATAACACACAGAAGACAGCGTGACGAAACACAATCAATTGCTTTTTGAAGGGAACACCAGAGTTTAACAGAGGAAAAGTTGTTGTCGACTGTTCCGGGCAGAGAAGTGATGTGAAACGCACTGGATCCTGCCTCAGACAGCAGGGCAATAATAAAACCATTTCCTGCTGCACACCACATCTGCCTTTGTTGAGGGTCAGTGGTTAAATAAGAGTCAATGCTGTGACTAAATCACAGAAATGCATCCAGCTCTTCTAAAATGGGTTCTCCAAGGGAACAGAACTCATGCCATTTCATGTAATGGGCTGGCACATGTAGAATGGTGTTCTCTGTCTACCAGCCTTGGGGCAATTGAGAGAAAGCTGTCAAATCATTTCTCAAAGGGCTTACTTGCCAACAGAAACCTAGTTGAGAAAGGCTAACTGACACTCCTTAACCTGAAGATACATACGCCAGCCTACATAACTTAGTAGCATTTTTTAAAATTGCAAGCAAGGTATCCCAGCAGCACTTAGAGTGGCATAGTTAAAAACAAAAAACAAAAAACCTCATCTGCAAACCCGGGAACAGGAAGAGTAACATTCATTGTCCTCAAGTCCCACTGTCACATCAACAAACAACTTCATGCACTCCCATCCATGAGGTCAGTGAAACTCAGCTGTCACAGGGCCACACAACAGAACTCAGTCCACAGTGTGGCTTGGATTCAATACAACCAGTAGTCACTGAGACACCAAGTGCATCTTCTTATGCAGAAGTGTGTCAACCCAAGCATAAGAGCAAATCCGTGAAACAAAGTCTAATTCATTTTGTAGTTGGGGCTTTGTAAAAAGCTTATATACTTATCCCGAACTTCTAAATAGAGGCTTACAAAACCAGATTTTGATTTTTGTGTGATATCCTGCTAATTCACTATTCTAGTACCCACTGCTTCACCTCTGACTTATAGGAGCTGTATTTTCTTTCTTTTCTGATGATTTCTTGTAAGTATATAGTATATTTAGAGCATATACAGCCTTAACATTTTCCATCCCATTCCTTCTGGACCCCCTTAGGAGCTATGTTTGTTTTCTTCTTTTAAGAACCAATTAAGTTAATTCAGTGAGAATTTTATACACCACATTTTGATTATATTTGCCACAATTTTTCCCTTAACTCTTACCACATTCACTCTGTCTTTCCTCACCCCCCTCCCACTTTTGTGTCCTCTTTGTAATTTGTGTTGTCAATATACCCCTGGATGTGGAGCCATCCTCTGGAGTGTGGTCCAACCTACCAGGAGCCACACCCTTTAAGGAAACTGACTCTCCCTTCCCTAGAAGTCATCAACTGTGTATTCTCAGGCAGGGGTAGGGGCTCATGGACCCCTTTCCACAGAATCTGTATTTTTAACTAGACACATTGCTAGACATTCAAGAAGAAAAAGTTTCATTGGAAGAAACTTCTCTGTATTCTTCTTATTCTTTTTCTGTTACCTTCTTTTTCTTTTTTTTTCTTTTCTCCTTTTTTTTTTTTTTGATGGATAAAATCTATAGTTATACCAAACTACAAAGTGACTCTTGTAGGCAGGGAGACTGTGAGTTAAAGTGAAAGAGCAGAAGGATAAAAGCATTCTCTGTTTCACATTTCTGCAAAACATCTCAATACTATTGTCTTTGTCCTCTCCTAGCTGCTGTCATAAATACTCTGATAAAAGCAAATCAAGGGAGATAGGTTTAGTCAAGGTCACAGTTCAAGGGATCAGTCAACCATGACAGGAAAGTAAAGGTAGCAGGAGTCTGGAGCAGGTCACATGATATCCACAATCAGGACCATAAAGTGATGAATGCATACTGCTGCTCAGTTCTCTTTCTCTATTACACAGTCCAGGATACCAGCCAGGGGATTGGTGCCACCCACAGTGGGCAGGTCTTCTCATCTCAACTAATACATCAAGATAATACCCATAGGCATGCTCACAGGCCCATCTCTCCAGAAAGTCTGGAATTTAATCACTTTCACAATTAATACTAACCACTGTAATTGTCAACCTCTAGATTCTTTTTAACATGGTGGAAAAAAGACAACTTTTACCATGTCTAAGTTTTAAGTGGCCAAGCATAATGCTAATTTAAACAATCCATGTGCATTTCTTAGTCAATGTCAGGTGACTTAATCAACTAATTGAGGTCAAATATTTGAATTAGTTTGCAACACTGAAATTGAAAGAATGTAGCAAAGACAGTAAAAAGAAACACAAAACCACACAATCAGTAATAAACATTTCAGAGTGTCAATCAACTGGTAATATAATACAGGAACAAGATTCTCCTTTTATTAAATAAACTGTAAAATCTAATTTAGAAAAAATTTAGATCAATAATAAAGAAAGAATGAACAAATATATAATTAATACAATGTGTGATATTTATGCATATTGGTGACGGGTTCTCTAGAGAGCCTTACAACACATACTTGCTAGAGAAAATACAGACTCTGTCTAAAGGGGACTTCATGGCTAATGTGCAGACAAACTGTGTATCCTTTTTCTTTTTAAAAATCTGTTTCTTGGTTATTGATATCTTTGTGGCTCATTCATTTGATGACTGTTTATATCCAGTATTTTACTTCTGGCCAAATGGAGACTTTAGTCTTCTAGCTTTTATGTACTACATAAAAAGACAGACATCTTAGAAAAATTCCCATGACAATAGAAAATAATTAACATGTTTTTGATGTCTTATGAATCCCTTAAATCTGATTTCCATTCTACAGTCTTGAAAAGTTATCAAAATATTTTTAAATTAGACCAAGCAAAAAGATTGAAAGCATTAGACTGTATTTAATGTAAAGTCTAAAAGAATATTAGATTGCTTGATTGTCCAGGCAGAAGTTTGGTTTAGAGCTGCTCTCTAATACACAGGAATTTGTGGGTGATTATTTGGTCAAAAATATTTTATTTTAGAAAATGTTCATATAAGTGTAGTATGGGGATTACAGATATCCGAGATCTCTTCTGCTTCAGTTTTGGGCAGAAGGGAAACAGTTAAGATCCACCTCTTCTTTGTAATCTCAGTGTTATACTTTTAATACTTTGAAATTCTTGCTTTGCCTTCAAATGCAAATGTCCATGGTTATGTTTATGTAAATTATTGGCACACATTATTCAGTCTAATAGCCTAAGGCAGTGTGTAGTATTGGATTTAATCGCAGTGATTTATTGGTCTGCTTAGGCAGCTGCTAAAGATTGGTATTTCTTCATGGGAATCACAAATGGGAAAGGATCTGGAATATTTAGGAAGATCGCTTTTCTGGCAAATATTTTTTTCCTGTCACTCACTTCTTTGTTACAACTATATAGCTAATGAGATGATGTGATAAAAATGTCTTACCCCTGTGACATCCATAACCTTAATGGCTGCAAGTTGTCCTGTTTTGACATGACGTCCCTGTAAGAAAAAAAAAAAAAAAAGATAATTTTAAAACATTTGCTTGTGATGAGCAATGTTAGTTTTCTTTCTAGCCACATAAAGACCAATGCCTATATCAATGTTATCGAAAGCCTGAAACCATACAGACAAATGTTTCGAAGATCTAATTCTAGTTAGTATTTGTTTTTTAAAACATTTCTTGTGATGTCCTCTTTGTTACTTATTTTCACAGGTGGCATCAAGTTAATGAAATGGAAATGCTGGACAATTCGATTTTCTTTCTATTAAAAGTACTAGACAAGGGCTGTATGTGTGGCAGATTCACTCAGAAGTAGAGACCAGCCTGGAAGGAGGGGACAAGAAAATCTTAGAAAATAGGAACTGGAGACTTTCTTTCCATTCTTAAAACAGTTTGCATTTCAGGCTGAGAATATGGCTTAGTGGTAGAGAACTAGTCCAACAAGCACAAGGTTTTAGAGCCAATCATCATGACTGAGAAAACATCAATGAAATCACCTGGCTACAACTGCCATTGTCAGCTGGGCACTGCCAGTGTGTGGAGCCAACACTAGGTGATGAGGAAGGGAGAACAGGAATTACCGCTTTCAACTCTTCATCCCCAGGAGTGTCTGAAAATTTATTTTCCACAATGATAGAGGGCAACAGTACTATTGGGACTCAGCACCCAGGGCTGGGCATTCCTAACATCTGAGCTAGAACAATCAAGGTCACAGGCAGATACAGCAGCCGCCAGAGTCATGGAGGTATGCTGCACTCCTATCTTCAGGGAGAGACCCACATAGCTTTATTGACTGTCAACCACATCTACAGCAATGTTTCTCCTCTAAAGAACTAAAAGACAGAATGGCGCCTGTAGACAAACACATGGGTCAACTTGATATCATCCAACTAATCTTTGTTAGAATTCTCTGAACATCCCCTTGGGCTGGGCAAAGGCAGTCCTTGTAAGTGGGTGATAGCCCTCTCCAAGGGGTGGCCTTCTTTGTGCAAACAAGCTTGATACAGGCCCACTGGTTCTGACTTCAGGGTCCAACTGTTTGCAGTTCTCTAAACACTATTTTTTTTTTAGCCTCTGGAATGGTCTGTCTTCTAGGTCTTTGCATTCTTGATCCCGAAACATGTCTACTTTCTCTATATTTAAATAAATTAACACTCTTCTCCCTGTCAATTAAATGTCATCTCTGTGCTACCAAGGAACAGGTTCCTTTTCCATCACTGCTTGGTGCCCATTGTGTCACCATTCTCTCTCTCATCTTTTTCTCCTTTCTGTCCTCTCTGGCATCCTTTGCAGCACCACCCCTGGAATCAGACCTTACTCAGATCTCCTCTGCTCAGGATCTTCATCATTCAAGTCTAGACACATTCTCAGTCCCTTTATCCCCATGGAAGTCTATGTGGTTCTTCTGCCAACATAGAGTCTGAGACACTATGCATGCAGTTTTTAACTCCTTCTGAAGCACAGAATCTTCTTTGAGTGAATAATTTGTTATAAGGGTGCCCAATGTCTAATTAAAGAGTAGCAGCTGGGGCAGAATAGAGCTACTCTACAGTGTAGTGCTGGCCTCAGGCCAGAGAAGAGAGGGAAAATCATCCCTGTTAAATTTCACACAGAAGGCACTGGCAATTTCTTGGTTTGAAATCAATAAAATAACTGCTTTTTTTTTTAAATTAAGGGTATATGAATTTTTGTGGCTTCATTCTTTTAGTGTCCTCTATAAATGTAGAAAATGAAATGACACCCCTACACTCACTTTAAATTTCACCTTCAGGCTGAAGGAACAGCTTTTGATGGAGCTGACACATGACTGGTGCTACCTTGAGATGGCAGGCTAGGCTAGGTGAGAGTCTGCAAATGGAACAATGTACATCCCTGACTTAAGCCCAGGCCCAGGATCCTCACATGGATCAGGGAAGTTGCAGAGCTGTCAAAATCTGATGATCAAGAAGACCACAAAGGACCAGAGAGGACTCTGCTCAGCACGAGCTGCTTTTTACATCACTGGAGCATGTCAAAGCTGGTTACCATCCAGATTAAGGCAGACCTTCAGGGAATGGTTAGGAGTCAGCCGACTTCAAGATCATTAAAAACCCAAGGCACAGTTAGGATTGAGGCAGGTTTCAAAGAAGCCACATCACGAAAACAAGAGTAAATTAATAAGAACAGCCCCATACTTACCCAAACAATCCTATTCTTTTAGGGATGAGGCTCAAATTTCACAGCTAATGAGACCAATACATCAGGACATAATATCCTCTGTCCCACTTCTGCCACCCAGCACCTGAGTTACAAATCCTTACCACTGAAATTTGAAACGATTTTTGCTTTGTTTTCTAAAATATTGTGTGTGTGCATGTATGTGAGTGTGTATATGTGTATGTATGTGTAAGTGTATATATGTGTATGTATGAGTGTGTGTGTGTGTGTGTGTGTGTGTGTGTGTGTGTGTGTGTGTGTATGATATCAGGGGTTGGTCCTCACCTTTTCTCCCTTGTTTGAGACAAGGTCTGTTCTTTGGTCATCATATGCCATGCTCGTGATTTCATGGGCTTTCAGAGTTCTCCTGTCTCCACTTTCCATCTCACTATGGGAGCACTGCATGCACAGATGTGTTGATTTAAACTCAGGTCCTGTTGCATGTGAGTCAAGGCCTTAGTCCTGAAGCCATCTCCCCAGCCCATTGTTTTCTTTCTGAGACACTCTAGGGTAGCTCAGGCTGGAATAGAATTCACTACATAGTCAAGGATACCCTTGAACTAATGATCCTCCGGCCTCTATACCACAAGTCCTGTGATTGTGCTTGGATTATATAATGTTTTTAAAACATCATATTTCCCATGAGTTAAACATTGATCTGTTCATCTCTGCTTCACATAGATTTATTCTTGTAACTTTCTAAAAATCTGGAGTCAAGATAACAAAGGCAGATCTTACTACTACAGAGGATATTGAACTGAAATTTCCACACTCCTATCAAAATTTTAATTTATTTCTACTCTTAAGAGTAATTGAAAATACAGCTGGGCTTTGGTAGCACAGGCCTTTAATTCCAGCCCTTGGGAGGCAGACACAGGTGGATCTCTGTGAGTTCGAGGCCAGTCTGGTCTACAGAGCGAGGGCCAGGACAGGCTCCAAAACAATACAGAGAAACCATGTCTCGAAAAAAAAACAAAAAAAAGTAATTAAAAATACAAATATAGACATCATTTGAATTTGAATCCTACTTGTAAGTCCAGTGAAAACTGAAAACCAAATTTCTGTGAAATGAAAACAAATCTCAATGGAGACAAAAGAGTTAAGTAAGACTTTTCACAAAACATAGAGATGTCAGACTGCAACCACTGAGTCATTTCTGAATAAAAGCATAAAATGTTTCCATTTCCTGCTGAGCTATTTAACAGTAACAAAAGTTAGTGAACAGACTAAAATCTAGAGGAATAAAATAGCCAAAATCCTAGTCTAAAGAAAAAGTTGTAGTAAAAGTTTGTCCAAGAAAGGATGAAGAAGGGCTTCTAGGAAAACTAGGAGCCTGCAGCATGAACACAAGGATCCAGTTACCCACAAGGGAACCAGGCACAGCTGCACACTGAATCCAGTCACCCACACAAACGGGACCAAGCACAGCTGCACACTGGATCCAGTCACCCACAAGGGAACCAGGCACAGCAGTGCCCATCTGTAACCCTGGCGCTGGGTTTGGAGGAAAGAAAAGACAAGGTGGGTGCCTGCAGTTATTGGCCAGCCAGAAAATTGAATCAATGAACTCCAGGTTCAGAGAAAGAATCTGTGTCAAAAGATATGAAGAGTTATGGATGGATATATGCTGCATTGACTTAGGCTTACACACACACACACACACACACACACACACACACACACACACCATGGGGATGCCAGGTTTTTGGAGATCACAGGTGCTGGGGACTGTGGGTCAGACAGTCACAGATCTACTCTTTTCCCTTTCCATCTTTCTTCTGTGTCACCTTGATGTAAAGAACTATACTGATTCTTGTTCCATATAAAAATCATTCAATACAAGGACAAAACGTGACCCATTCAAGCATGGTTAGGCTTTCCTTTGTCTCCTCCATAGAAAGAATGCAGAGGAAAACAAGTTTCCTCAGAAAGGGCTGTGGAAGCATCACCTCTGTGGTGCTATTTTCTAAGGAACAGCTGGCCATCTGTGGAGCTGCTAGCCCGAGGCTAGCCTGGAAGAGAGTGCTTTCATTTTTAGGTCACCAAAATACATTTTTTCCAATGGAGCACAGATGCCGGATCAGACAGTCTCAGCCCAGTCTCACTCTCCCATTGAAGGTTGCACACAGCAGAGTGGCTCCTTGTCTTTTGAATTAGCTTAGAGACAATCTCCCCTCAATTGAGGAAAGATTCTTCAGTTTCCTAGTTGTAAATGAATGTGCCTCCTTTGTATTTCCACAGCATTCTATGCTAACCCCTGCTGGTCCCAACCAGTGCTGTGTTTCTCTTTTCTTTTTTTCAAATATGCATTTCCAGAATAATGAAAACAAATCAAATCAAATAAATAGAAGGGCTGAAAGTGTGGCTTAGTGGTAGAACACTCTCCCAGGATGCACAAGGCCCTAGGTCTATACTAACTACCAAAAATTAGAAGATAGGAGTGTAGAACATGTAGTAATGGCAGGTGCTGTCTTGTAGATCAATTCTGGTTAAATTTATATCTGTCCATCTGTCTGTCTGTCCATCTGTCACTTGTGCCACAGTATACCATCTAGAGAAGTAGTACTCGGCCTTCCTAATGTTGTGTGACCCTTTAATATAGTTCTTCATTTTGTGGTGACCACCAACCATAAAATTATTTCATTGTTACTTCATAATTGCAATTTTGCTAATGTTATGAATCATAATGTAAATATCTGACTCTCAGGGCATCTGATATGTAACCCTTGTGAAAGGGTCATTTGACCCCCAAAGGGCTTGTGACACACAGTTTGGGAACAGCTGACCTAGAGTCTCCACCACA